TACATCCAAGAGATAAAAGCAAACTTGATGAGCAAATGATCCTATGTAGTTAGAAAAGCCAAGGGAAGAAGGAAAAAAAAACTAAGAGATAACATCATAGAATCCCACAAGGATAATAAAATAGCAATTAACTCAAGATAGAACCAAGAGTTGACTAATAGATGCGAGAAGCCAGCAAAATAGAAAGAACCAAACATAAAAAACTAATAAATGCCACAACAAATACCTGACAAGGAGCCCAAACAAATAGAGCGAGAAGAGATAGAAGTAGAACCCAACATTCAGCATACCTGGAAGGCAAGAGAATCTACCCCACCAACAATCAACACCCAGAACAAATAATAAACTAGGACATAACCACAATGCCACAACCTCAGAACGACCACCAAATCCAATCTAATCTAGACCCGATAACATCAAAAGTAAAAAACCACATAACACCAAAACAAAACCCAAGAAAAGTCAATACAAAGGGAAAGCCCATGAACCAAACCCAAAAGGCAAGAAATAGAGAACCCAACCACAGACACTAAAGAAAAAATACCTACCACGGCTGACAGATACATCACAACCTAAAAGGGTCATTAAGTTTTAGAATGAGTAAAGTTAGAAATAATGTGTTTAAAATTCTACACCACCTTTTTACCTTTAGACTTTTTTTTATTTTTTCTAGACATACAAATAAATACCTCATTATCAACTTGAACAACATCCAAAATAACATCTTCCTACAAAACATGAAATTTACCACAAATCACATCCCCGCATCCCCCACAAATACCAACGGGTCATACCACTTTTTATTTTCATTTCTTCTCTTTTTCTTATCCAATGCTATTTCAAAGTCATCAAAAGAACTATTTCTAGCTTTAAATTTAGATGTATTTTAGTTTTGAAAGAACATCCACATCTGAATATATCCCCTTCTTCCCAATTAGAATTTGAGATATCAAAAATAGGCTCGCCATTAGAAGATTCATCCATTTCATTGGAAATATCAGTTTTATGAAATAGCCCATCATCAGCACCACGATTAGTGGGGTTACGATAAGGGTTAAACAACATAGCATCATACACATGATCATATTCATAAATTAGCATCCCCCACATGATTTAATTTGTTAATTTTAGTATCAAAAATAGCTGGCAAAGCAACCAAGAGGTTAACACCATCAAAATTTTCTTTGGAAGATTCATCACATAAAATGGGTGTAGAAGATATAATAAATAAGATGTTTGGTCTCATTATCAAAATTCAACTTTACCATTGCCTCAGCCAGAGGAGAAGAAGGTTGCTGAAGATTATTGTTTGGGGAAATGAGTTGACCTTCATTATTTGCCACCGATAACATAACCGGAGTTGGAACCTCAGTGATGTCAGGCAAGCTATCTTGCAGAATAATAGGAGAAACAAAATGAGGAACTCCAACATTAGTATTCGGCTATGGAAGAATATCCTGCGAAGCATGAATATTAGAATTAGCTGGTTTGTTAGTGTTCCATTTCCTCAAGTGTGGTTGAAGGTAAAAACATTCCATTTTACTATAACCCAAAGCTCTATGGTGATCACAAAAACTTGGGAAATCACTCATGATAACCTTTTAAATAAAACCATACTTCTTAGGTCCTACCCAAATAGAACTAGGATATTATTTTATGATATCCAACTCAGCCATGATACGTGCCATAGAAGGAAGGGATCCTGAACCAGTTGCATTATATGTTTGTAAAGTGCGACCGAATAATAAACCCAAACCATATAAAAGGTGATGAGTAAATATATGCGGGTTCAAATCTTGAATAGATAACCCATTATGGACAATAGGGGATTCAAACAAGATGTCAAATAGAGGAGACCACTTAATCAATTTCATAAAAAAAAAAAATTATTGACATAATAAAGTCTTCTAGCAAATATCCTGCTATAATCCAAATCATTTGAGAGTTTGAAGAGCACATGTCTAGGATCAAACAAAGAATCAGAGAAATCAATGGGTAATTTTAGCCCAAAAAAAGAACTTCATTATATTATCAAACTCAAGATGCCTAACCAAAAATTTAATGACAATAGTGTATTCAAATGACACAACTAATACGAGGAACTCTTCTTATGTAATCCAAAGGGATGGTAAACCTTTATGCTTGGAATGAACTAAAATGGAAAAAGCTTGCAACAAAGAATCATCAGCCAAGGCTTCCCTAAAAGACTTGGAAGGATTCCTGAACCCAAATGTTAAAGGGTTTGATTCCC